AAGTGCTTGCAAAAGTAATGCTAAAAATCTTTTTTCACCAAACATCAGAATTTTGATTGATTCATTTTCTTTGGCTTATCAAAATATTTTTAGTTTGTAAGATTTTTATTTATTTATTTTATTTTATTTATTTATTTTTTTTTTTTTTGGATATAATAACAATTTAGTCTCACTAATTAACCCATGGCTTGTGGGGGTAAAAGCGGTGGGTTCATTCCTTTCCCAGGGGTATTTGCATGTAAGTGAATATAACACACCCAGTGAGAATTAGAGCTTTGCAAGCTATTATCAATTACACAATCCACACCTAGTATTCCCAAGCAGTCACCCATGTAGGTAATTACCAGGCTTGACATTACTTAACTTTGGTGATCATACAAGAACCGGTGTTTCAATGTGAAGTTGCTGTAAACTCATCAGAATTTTCTTAACCTTCATTTGATCATAGCAAGAGCCTCTCTAGCTCCCCCCCTCTTCACTGTAATCCATGATAGGAAGTGAATTAGTATAATCTGACATGCTTTAGATTGAAAAGCGAGAATAAATGTAAATTATAACTTCCACCTAAAGTGAGCAATATTAGCATGGTTATATTGCTGCTTTTGGAATCACCAAAATCTTGAGCTTCATTACATTGTTTTCTTTTATAGCAAATAAAGGCTAAAAGAGATATATATATATATATATATATATATATATATATATATATATATAAAAGTGCCTTCTTTTTTATGATCAGTTATGTGCCATGCAGGATACATCCTTAGATAATCATGTATCTTTTGATACATGACTGATGAGGCAGATTTTTTTTCCCCGCAGTAGGTTGCCATTTCTTTCTGCAGTAGACCAGTTGCCATCCAAGGCTATAGAACCCAGTCTGTCCTGCTGTTTACCCATAGCTGGGGAGAAGAGGATCCATACCTTTCCCAAGGGTTTTAGCACATAAGTGAATGTAATGGGTTTGAGTGGAATTCGAACTTGGCTCTCCGATTCCTCAATCTGAGCTGCTATCCATTATTCCACCATTTGTACAAAATAAAAAATAGGCTCTTGTTTCTTGACTTCAAAACTTTATAATTGTAAGTTTCGAAAAAAGAAATGTCTGGAAAATTAACTGATAATAGTTTATTAATAGTATATTAAGCTCTTTGTTTTTCATTAGTAACTATAACTACATACACAGTATCAATGTCTGTAGAGACTGACATCTTATGTCTTTCCCTTTATTTTTATGAAAACTTATGTTCCTGGATTTAGCATTTTTATTGGAAAGAAAATTTTCATTTTGGGGCTAGGAGACCAGATAATGATTTATCCTATAAAAGCAAAATATTTAATTTATACTTTTTTTTTTCTCTCTCAATCTATCTCTTTCAGATTGAGAGATAGACTGTATCTCTCTCTTTCTATCCCTGTCTGTCTATCTATCTACCTACCTACACACACACACACACATATATATATATATATATATCCCTGTATCTCTCTCTCTTTTTTTTTCTCTAAATTAATACATTGACCTTTTGTATAGCTTCTTCCTTACATATTTATTATATATACAATTTGATTTGACATATATCTCTTTTTATATGTTGCTACTGATGATTATATCTCTAAAAATGCATGTCACTTACCTTGTTTTTGTGAAGAAAGCTTTATTAGTACAAACAGGAAATAAAAATAATCCTTGGTGCCATTAGGTCTGTGGATGTTGAAGTTCCAAAAAAGCCAAGATTCACACCTGCAGTCTTCTCTTCCTGGTTCTGAATTTATGATTTATAGAATGTTTGCATTTTGTAGTTTGAGAACTGTCAGCTCTTCTGTAATAAAGATATACTTTGCTACCAGTCAGCTGCCACTCCCTTCTGTCAGTTTGTTTGTGTGTCTTTTTTTTTTTCTCGCATGCCAAAACAAATTCTTCAACTTTTTGCACATTGAAAACCGTAACGAGCCAAGTGCTTTTTTTAGTAGTATATCTGTAGTGCAGCCAAGAATATATCACTGTATCTTGTCTATATCTTAAGGAGCAGAAATATTGTAGGAAATGCTTTGCACTTTGTTCTGATTTGTGCATCAGCAAAAATAAAAATTTGGCTGCCTCTGAAAATTCCTGTAATACAAGTCTTTTCAGTTAGTTTTACAATTAGTTCTTCAAAGATGCCTGTTGACATTTTTTTTTTTTTCTTTATCATTGTTGAAAAAGACCTCTTCATAGAAATTATTTTCAGAAAATGTTTACACTTTCTATGCCTCTCTATCTATGAGTTCAGTAGACTTTAAAAATGATGATCCTAGAATCTGATATCCCACATCCTGTGTATGTTAGTCATATTTTTTTCACTATACTATAAAAGAGAAAAAGTCATACTTTGGTAACCTCAAGCAGTAGGTTTCCTTGTTTGTTTGGCAAGAGTAGCAAATCTGATGTCCAAAAATATTTTTTAGATGCCATTTTGAAAAGCTAATATATTTTTTCTCTAATAATGAAGAAAGAGGGTTTTGAAAATTCAATACTCACAGGACAGATTTGAAGGTAAGAGATACAGTGGAAATCAATGCAAAACCTACTTGGCAAGCTTGAGTGAATGGATGGTGGAGCAAGGTTTGAGAGAGATGGCAAAAAGACAAACACAGGAAGGTACACTGTACATAGATGATTTTGTTATTAATAATTAAAGAGATTTTGAAATTCAGGTCTGTAAAAAATCTGCTGAAACCTGCAAATAAGCCCTGAAATATTTTTTTTATGGTCTTTAGTCCTGTGATGCTCTCCCAACTCAGTTAAAATTAATGAAATTTCATCTCCAGAGTAAATCTATAAAAGAATAGATGTGGGAGTACTTTGTTTTACAAATTTAAGTTGGTAAAATTTTACATTTTTTACATGTTTAAATCAATAAATGGCATAGCTAATGCAATTGATGCATTTAGAAATTTCAATTCAAGAGTTTAGAATGAAAGTAGTTTGAGCTAGAAAACAAAATAATCTGTTTACTGTACAGTGGTCCTATCAACTCTGACGCAAATTCCTTAGTAAACACACATCATCAAAATGGACACATTTCACCAATGTTATTTGTGTAGTAATGTGTGTATACATGGAAAGATAAAATATCAAATAATCAATTGTTCACTAAGTATATTAGACAAGATAGCTGAGACTGTATCATGATGACTTCTAAGATGGTCAGTCAGCTTCCTGATGATCAGTGTAATGTTAGAAGTCCCTCTTCTCATATACAAAGATAAACTAGAAGTTAATCTAAGAATCAATTGGAGTGCACCCAAGATTGTCCAAAAACTCTAAAAAATGGCACAAATTTTACAATGCTAGAATCGGTCAGCAGATGAAATCTTGGATGGAACACCAGAGTGAACTGAGGCAAGGTTATGTAATCAATGAGTCGAGGCAAATTCAATTGATTTGCAATAAATAAGGGTTCTTGCTGAGCCATATGGGATTGGTGTCACGCAACAGGCGCAAAGAGAAACAGCAGACAGTGTGAAAATAATCATTTTCTGGCATTTGTATATTGAAAACAGCAATAATCCATTATTGTATTAATTTCTAAAATAAACAAATTTCAAGACCTTTTTTTTGCGTGTGTTAGCTTTTTATAAAAGCTATAACTGTTAATTTTCATTTTAAACACATTTTTAATGAATGCGGTCAGCTAACCAACCTAGCAAGCTTGAGTAAATGGATAGCAGAAGGATTAGGAGGCATAACAAAAAGAAAAAGTTAAGAGCTACAAAAACAGGAAATTGTGGAGAGTCAACACCCTGAAAGGACATGGTATAGAAAAACTCTAATTTTTCCTTCTCTCTTTTTACTTCATAATTTGTCATTTCTCTTTATACTCTCCTTTATCTTCAGTTCTTTAGTTTTCCTCTTTAGCATAAAAAATTTGTTTTTATGAGTCTTTTGGGGTGCTGTAAAAGAAAAATCTGAGAAAATGTGTACAACAAAGGAAGAATGAACATGCTTATTGCTAATGAGCCATGATCTCTTTTTATAACATGCAATTTTACCCAGTATTTCTATTTCTTCTAAACAAATATTGATTTAATAAGATAGGACATCTTGTTATATGATCAGGTCCTGCTGATTTTATTTTTTCCTAATGAATTTAACAAGCATGTCTGTACAAGTGTTTTTTTTGTTTTTTTTGTTTTTTTTGTTTTTTTTGTTTTTTTTTTTTTTTTGTTTTTTTTGTTTTTTTTGTTTTGTTTTTTGGTTTTGTTTTTTATTTTGTTTTGTTGTTTTTTTTGGCTTTCCTTTTATTTTTTCCTCTTCCCTCTTTATATTTCTATTACAGTAAGCAAAATTGTATTATTTTTTCAGCTGATCTGAAATAGTAATTAGACACAGAAAAAATTAGAATCGGGATTTTTCAAAACCTGTAAACAGTTATTTATGATAGGTTCACCTATCATCTTGTTCACACTCCTTTTGTCTTTTCTTTTTTCTTTTTTTTTTTTTTTTTTTTTTTTTTTTTTTTTAAATAGGAGTTAAGGTTCATTCTTTGTTTCCTGTTTAGGATTGGGTTTTTTTTGTTTTTTTCTAAAGTCTTCTCACTCTCTTTCACTCCCAGTAGCCCCTTGCATCTAAGTGGCATTATTGCCTTGCTTGGGGTGAATTGATTTTTTTAAAAAAAAAAAAAAATGGATACATTGATTTTTGGAACAATTTCATTTTGTATCTTAATTTTGTAAACACGAATCTTTCTTTGTACGTACTTGTGATAAACTGCAGGTTTTGTAATCTGCTTTTTCTTTGCTTTGTCTATGATAGAAATAGTGCTTCAGATTTCTGAGATAATAGTTTGACAAGTAAACAGCTCTGACTGTTTTCGATTTGGTGCAATTTGAATATTTTCAGATAGATACTTAAGAACTTATTTATATGAGAACATTTTGCACTGCAGAATAAATCATTTTACCTTAGATGACAGTATAGAAAACTGGTTTGTTAAAATCTTTTGCTTTTAATATTGATGCTCTTGCCATTGTTCATTAAGAATGAAGTCCGATCTACAAGTGTCATGATTCGTGTTGTAAAGCATTCAACATTTCTTTCTTTGTCACTACTTCCACTTTGTTACATTGCAAAAAAAAAAAAATTCTGTAAATTTTTAAAAATCTCAAAATTATCTATTTCAGGTGAACAACAAACCCAGCCCAATTGCATTGGAACCTTTGAATGGCCAAAAGGCTGCAGTGCTCTCTTTATTAGTGCAACTTCCATGTGGAGATGAGGATTACACTCCTAGTAACCAATCTGGATTGGCTATTGCAAGTGCTCTAGTATCATTAGGTATGTATAAGTTTGACAATCGTTCTTTAACTTCCAAATTTCATATTTAAATACTGAAGTTTAACATATAAAAGTTTTGAATAAGATAAGAGCAAAAGATCTGAAACTTGAAGACTGCTCTTGAATTGTTCTTTCATCTTTATGGTAATCTAAAACCATATTCCATCACAAATGCTCAAGCCCTGGAATAAAGAAAATGCCTCTTGTAACAGTAAGCCATAACTACATCTGTAAAATAGGAATTCAGCTGTATGTGCCTTGTACTTAAAGCAGCTGTTCCCAAACTGTGAGCCACATTTTCAAAATTAAAATCTGCTTGTGCCTCACCAAATTTTGTGATAAAAAGTACATTTAAAAATGAAAAACACAGTTAAAGGGAGATAACTGCAGATTCAAAGTCAGTTATCACTGATAACTCTCTCCTCTAATTTGCAGACCCTAATACTTGATATAATACAAATATATCACAATGATAAAATTGGTCAATTATTTATAACTACTTATACTGGGCCTCATGCATGCAATTACAAGTAATCCATAATATTTTAAATTTTGAAATTATATTTATTTTTGGCATATGAATTTTTTAAAACTGTTTCTAAATCTTTTCTTGCCTTTCAATCATTCCGCCTCACCTGCTATCCTCGTCTGTCACACCTATGAACCACACAACATTGTTTGAAAACTAATGACTTAAAGCGTCAAACTTAGTTTGTCACTTGAAAGTAGATTTTATTTACCTGATCTCCCTACTAAACAGGATGTGACACCAGATCATTTTTTTAACATAAGGGTGCTAATATGCATGTTTATGGGCCAAGATTAGAAATTACCCTGTTCCAGTGACCACTGACATGCTGACATTGATGTTACACATTACACAGACCTCCACCTCTCTTAGGGCAATGAGGAAGGTACTGCTGTGGGGTTGGAATCCCTGGAATTGGATTTTTAAAATTAGAACAGATACTTTACTTTGATCCCAGCCTGAATACCCAGAAGTGATAATATTTACCTGGCCTCCTCTCAAAGGTTAGATGTGACATAAGGCCTTTTTTAACGTGGGATTACCATGCGCATACATATGGGGCAGGGACAAAAATTGACCAATTCCCGCAACCGCTGTCATGTTAGTGTTGACACTACAATAACCCCACCTCTCCCAGTGCAATGAAGAAGGCACTAAAAAGGTACATCTGGCAGAAAAAGGTACTTGGAAACTGATTTCTTAACAATAATTTTAGTGTTGAATGTAGAGCTGCATTGGAGGAACCTGGTGGCTAGAAAAATGGTTGAGCTCTTCACAGAAATAGTCAGTACTTGGCACCTTATTCCATCTCATTTGAGGAGAGAACAGATACTATACCTCTTCCTCGCCAAAAGGCCAAGAATGCATTCAGTGAAACTTTCTTGGCACTTTTTGTCTTCTTGGATCCATTACCAAGTATATTTTTGTAATATATATATATATATATATATATCTTTAGATCTACATGATTAATGCATTTGCTTTTGGTTGGCTTTAGAGAAGTTTTTTCTCTTATTCTTGATAAAATATTTTCTTCTTTTTGTAATAATTTTTCCTTATATATATCTTCCATTGCATCATTAGATGCTGTCAGTGGCATAAAAGAATTGGTGGCGGATAAAAAATTATTCTGAAAGTTAATTCTGTCAAAAAATCACTTTTATAAGTACCAAAATTTGTTAAAGATTCTTGATTTTTTTTTTTTTTTTTTTCCATTTGATTTAATGAACATAAATGATATTGTCCTATGAGATATATATATATATATATATATATATATATATATAAATAAATAAATACTACGTTACTTAAAAATCGAATACCGAAAAGAGAAAATATACAAATAAAATAAATTGACCTTAATTCATCCAAGTAAATAAATAAACAAACCAATCCCGATAAAGTTACCGTTAGAAAAAACAAATAAAGATAATCAACCCAAATAAACAAAATTAAAAACTGTTCCTGCTAAAATAATAGTTAGAAACCAACCCCAAAACCGAACAAATAGCTTTAATTAAATTCTCAAACCAAAACAAAACTATTAAATAAGTGATATAAACAAATTTTTACTATGTTAATAAAAACACCGATTAAAAAATAAGTAAATAAATAAATAAGAAACAAAAAATAAAATTAAATAAAAAAACAAGAAAAATAATTTAACCCAAATAAATAAACGACTTCTGGTAAAATAACCGCTATAATAGACTACCCACAATGCACCACTGACCCGTATATGTATAAATATCCGAGAAAAATAACAGCACACATGGCCTGACGATTGCATATAGCATGAAACAGGCTGTCGCCTCTAAGTGTTTACTTCTATGTTCACTTTTATATTTACACACACTCTATTTCTGATATTGAGCACTTTATCCCATAAATATAGCACACCTTATGACTATATTTCTTGTGTGTATATATATATATATATATATATATATATATATAAAATCTCAAGATGTCTTGCACTTCATTTGTCAGATACAAATTCTATTGCATAACATCTTAAAACACATTCCTGTGCATTTTCACAATACAGGAAAATACTTGTTGACAACAGCAATATACTAAACCACAAAAATAAACAAAAACTTCAAATTCTCAAGGTCCTCTCAAAATCAACCAACCAACATTCAACAAAATTTATTATAAGATGTTAAAGTGCATATAACTTTTATATACTAATGCCATTTTACATTTCTACCAATTCCCAGTCAGCTCCCTATATAATGAAGTGCTTGTTTTGGAAAAAATTCCATAGCTACAACAGAAATTTAAAAATTCTAAAATAACAGAGCACATTCGCATATTTTTTTTTTTTTTTTTTTTAAATCACTATGACAACAGAATGCAGATTTTATCACAGTTACAATAAGTTTGTCATTGTAATTTACCCCTGAAGATCATCTTAGAAAGTATTGAAAGTATTTGGGTAGGAAAAAACTACAGCACCTTCCTTGATGAATTTCATCTTAAACTGATTAGACAACTGGAAAGAATCAGTATAAAAATAAGTAGACACAATATGTCTATATTATTCAATAGGACATGTTTGAATGAAGATATGCTGCCTAAATATGTGCCATTATATTTAGAAGATACATATGTTTGAGTGGACATCCCTGTTTGTTTTTTTTATTTTGCTTTTTCTCTGCCTTTGCTTTTTCTCTGCCTTTGCTTTTTCTCTGCCTTTGCTTTTTCTCTGCCTTTGCTTTTTCTCTGCCTTTCTACCAGACTAAAAGAGTTTGAAAATCTTTAAGAAAATGTCTCTTGCCATTTTTCTTTTATGATCTCCAAACTGGTAGATATTAATTTCACTTTTTTTTTTTTTTTTTTTTTTTTTTTTTTTTTAACAGATGTCCACTCAGACCATTGTATCTGTTAAATAAAACATTTATAGATTTACTCAAAAAGAATTTTATAAAGACACTCGACCTTACAATATGAAAAGATTACAGTTATGAAGTATTTGGTTTAATGATAGTATACAGGGTGCTATGGATAAATTGTCATATAAAATACTCCAGATGTCCTGCATCTCTTCTGGATGGTCTCCTTGTTTAAGTTGGTGAATGCTGCCATAATTCTTGCCTTCAGTTCACCTTTGGTATTGCAGGAAGTTTTGTTGGTCTCTCGTCAATTGCACCCCCTCCACATATAATAATCAAGAGGGTTGCAATCTAGGGAGTTAGGTGGCCTGATATAAGGGTGATGTGGTCACAGAAATTGTCTTACAGCCATGACTGGGTGTCTCCTGTTTGTGTGGCATGATGCAGAGTCTTGTTTCCAGACAGCCACCCTCTTGACCCAGGGTAGCACTACCACCTCTAGGCACTTGATGTAAGTCACCATGTTGAGTCTGAGGCCCTCACCAACAAATTTGGGAATTCTTTTCTTATCAAAACGATCAGTATGAGTTTTCTGATCTGCTGTACCTTTGTAATCACCATTAAACTCATCCAACTCTTTCCAAATATTCTGCACTGTCCTCAGATTGATAGCCAAACACTCTGAAATGTTTGTATTGGAGCTTCCAGTGCAAATGTCAAGTAGTACAGCATGCCATTTCCAAATTTCTATTACATCATGATGATCTTTTTCTCAGATTGTGGCCAATTGACACTTTCATGCAAACAGCGCACATGCACAGAATTAAAAATATGAAATGGTGACAATTTACTCATCACAACCTGTAGATTATATAATCAAAAAGTAATAAAGAACGCACACACTTTTACAGTCTACTGATGTTGGTCATTATAGCTTAAAGTACATTAACACTAGTTTTTGAATTCACTGTAATGGTCATGTCTTTAAAAAAAAGTTCAAATTTGATTTGTTTCATTCAACTGCAAATATTTCATAAGCATATTTGGAGAATGGATAGTTAAAAAAAAAAAAAAAACACTTGCTTTGCTCTCTAATTATAAATTAGATTGAAAAATGTAACTTTAGTAATTAAGTGATTGAGTTAAGATTTTTTATTTTTTTTTTTTTTTTGTCTATTTTTGTTATTTTTCAAATCTTTTTCATACTTTGGTACACAAGAACTTTAGAATATTTTCTAATGTTTGAATCCATAGAATTTCATCTTGGCATAACTTTGTATGATTTTGTGCCTCAGGTTCAATGGATGGGATTTGCGTTAATATGATTCTGAAGCTTTTTTTTTTTTTTTTTTTTTTTTCAATAAAAAAAACAATAACTGATTGAACTTTGTTTCTATTGATAATTTGACTGATAAATTTTTTTTTTTTTTTTTTTTTCTGTTTCTTCAGGTAATCCCCGTAAACAAAGCTGTGAACCCAGCAAAGGTGATAAAAATAAACTGCGCAAACACATACATCAATCACATCCAGATGCATGTATATAGCAATATTGGTGTATATAAACTTGTTTAAAAAAAAAAAAAAACACACACACACAAAACGAAACTTGTAAATATATACATTAAAAAAAAATTAAAAAAAAATGTAAATTTATGCAAATCTGTTTAGATGCAACATGGATTTTAACAACCAAATGACCCAACAAGTTCAAAATAAAATAAAAACATAAAAACACAGAAACTAGATTGAAAACAAGAGGAGTGTGATCAAATCATGGGTGTTTTCTATGCACCCCCACCCAATTTTTTTTTTTTCCTAAATCCTAATGAATTTAGAGAACCTGGTAACTTCTTCCTGTTTCAAAGCCATCACTTCCCACCACCACACTGGCTACAAAAGCTTATGAAAAAAAATAACCTTACTCTTTTAATCCTTGCTTCCCGTGCCAGCAAAAGAAAAAAATAAAATAAAGATGGAACATCCATACCTACACTGGGAACTTATCACCTGACCACACCCACCACCCTTGATCGCAGTCAGCATTGTCATTATTACTATCGTCGTCATCAGAGCTAATTATTTTATTAGCTTACAATTGCCATCCATTTCATGTTTTAACAAAAGCTTTTTCTTTTAACATTTTTTTCCTGCCAATCAGAATTGGTAAAAAAAAAAAAAAAAAAAAAAAACCTACTTGTATTTTATAAGTATATTAGTTCTGTGTGTATGTTATTGAACCAGATCCCAAATTCTGGTTGGTTTCTCTAACTTTTCTCACAAGCTACCATTTCTTACAGCTTCCAATTCGTAGATTTTTTTTTTCCATTCTTTAATGAATTATTCACTTTCATTGCTCAGTTTACTTCAAATTAGAGCTGACTAGATATTGGTCAGCACTTGCCATTTCTTAAGGTGCTTGGTCACTTTTAATTAAGATAATTTGGACTAGTTTTTTTTTTTTTTTTCCTTCATCTATTTGTACTAAGGTTAATTTATAATCTGACTAATGCAATAGCTCTTCACTCTGTGGTAACATTGCATGGACTTTGTAAATCTTATCATTTGCTATGTCCAATTTTGTATTCCTGTTTTGTAGGGTTTAACATTTCAAAGTGTTCATTTGGTGAAAAAGGCTTTTTTTTTTTTTCTTTTTTTTTCTTTTTTTCTTTCTCTCTGAAACTCTTTATATCCTCCCCATAAATGTTATAGGAACAAAAAATTATTATAAAAGGTAAAAAAAAATAGTTTAAACATTTCACAAATATAGAAACAATATTTCAATCATCTAGTAATTGTTAAAAATCATTGTTGCAGAGATGAACGCACCTCTCTAGAATATGACTTGGACTTGTCCAAATGGCATATATACTGACGCCAAGAATCGTCAGCAGAGAGCTAGCCAGAAGTGAGCCTTGTATCCTTGTTACAGCATTCAGTAAGACTACGTCGACTACAAGAGACATTATATTTCATGATTGTATTACCTTCATTCAATGGAATGAAAACATAACAATGGCGATGAAGATTCGAATTCACACAAAAAAAGAAACTTGCTGAAAGTAGTGCTACCAGCTAAAAAACAGGAAATAATAGAAAATTTGTGACAGTAAAAATGAATAACGCTACGGTGAGATTTCTATTGTACACTGATAGCGATATTACAATTATTGTATTACTACAGATGTCGTGGCAATACCCTTGAAACCAGAAAAATGTAGACCAGGTATGTAATATTGAATTAACTATTATCAATTTTATTGGCGAATGCTTTCAAATATAGTACATGTCGAATGCATAATTTTCCCACAATTAATTAAGCTTAAATTAAGATAGTATTTGAACTCTTGTCGTTTGAAATATTAAAGGACCTATTATACTCATTTAGCTTTAGTCTAATCAGCATTTAAACACACTGTCACTTCTCTATCTTTCATATTGTTGTGGAGATGAACGTACATCTCCAGAATATGACTTGGACTCGTCCAAATAGCATATATATATATATATATATGTACTGACGCCAAGAATCGTCAACAGAGAACTAGCCGGAACCAAGCCGTATATCCTTGCTACAGCATTCAGTAAGACTACGTCGACTACAAGAGACATTATATTTCATGATTGTTTTATCTTCATTCAACGGAATGGAGACATAACACAGTTGGTTTGCAGCTGCTATTTATTAACTTTTCTGTTAATAAAGTTATCTTTTGTATGTTTGGATTTCAATTTTGCTGTAAGCTCAAATTTTAGCTTCTATATTTATTTTATAAAGAAATCTATAAATCCTTAAACCTTTTCCTTTTTAATATACATCTTGAAACATAACCCCCTAAATATCACCCTTTTTTAGAATTATTTTCCTTAGTTAATATTTTTAATTGAAATCTTTTTTTTTTCATTCCCTCCCCCCATTCATGTTAATCTTGGTATATTCACCATATGATGCACTTATCACCAAATGAATGCACTGTGCTGCTTTTCAGGTTTGAAAATTGAACAATTTATCCTAACATTTTGCAAAACTCCTATGTATCATACTGAGAAAATTGTTTGTAAACAATTATTTAAATTGTAAATTATTTGAATGAAAATTAATCAAAAGAAAAATTATACTAAATGATAATTATTCAAAATACTTATGTCTGAAAATACACGTGGTCTTCCTTTAAGAGAGTCAATGCTGATTTACCTAGAACTATTAACACCCTTCAAGGATGGCATAGGGCTTTTTTGCAGCAAGTGTCATCCCACAATGTGATAATTCTTAGATGCTCTTAAAAGAGAACAGGACTTGCAAGAAATTCATATTGCAAGAGCAAGTTGCCAAAATATCAAGAGCGCCATGAAATACCGTAACGTAAATGGAAAACTTAAAAAAAATTAATGGCATCCTATAATGACTACTCTTCAGTCGTTGACTATTTGTGTGTAGTATCATATAACTTAAGGTTATAAGCATTTTTTCTTCTAAGTTGTTTTATTAACGGTATTTGTATTTTGAATAATTATCATTTGTGTATAGCTTCTTTTAATTTTTACGGTTTTTTTTGTTTTGTTTTTTTGCAATAAAGAATTTTGCATTTCGAATAATTATCATTTAGTATAATAATCCTTTCGATTAATTTTCATTCAAACAATTACAATTCAAATAAGTGTTTTTCAAGTAAGTGTTTTCAAGCAATGTTCACATAATCTCTGTACCGTACTTCAGGTAAAGAGGAATTTAACGTGTTTTGCAGGTGGGGGATGAGCAGTTCCCTATCATCATACTTACAGTCTTGCACCCGTTGTTCATTAAATGAGCTTGCATTGCTTAATAATTTGGGGAGGTAGCTCTGCCATTTTGGAACTTAAAATTATTTTATATTTAGCATTATAAGATGCTAGTTTTTATGCATGTCATTCAATTGACATTGGGAGAATATGCTTTTAAGTATTTGTTGTATATGGAAACTTTTTTTTTTTCTTTTAAAGTTTATAACTGAAATTATTTTCATAACAAAGTGCTGATTCCTATAAGACAAACCAAACCAAACATGTGCAAAGCAATTAAGTGTATATAAATGTTGTTTTTAAAAGGCTTTTTAAATGACTTGATGATTTTTTTTCTTCTTCTTAAAGTGGTATCAAGCAAGATTTATTTTTTTTTTAGATTGTCTTCCATGACAATTGCACATGAATATTTTGGTAATAAAACTTTGGATAATGTATATCTGAAGGTGCGATTTATATTAACAAAACTAAGTTGGATGTATGAAACACTTGCAACTGTAATAATATTAGAGAACAGAATTAAAATTTATTGAAGCACTTGTAGTTATTAGATGCAATATTTATTAAAATTTTTGTTCTAGTCTTTCAAACCATTTGGGAATGAAAATTATATACCATATTTTGGTGCTAATATCATAAAGCTCTGATAAAGTTTAGATTAAAAACAAAATCATTTAAAGTAATAGTAATGACATGCTTCAGAATAGCACATAATTTCCTAATTTTGCTACCACCTGACTCAATATCTTTGTTATTAGTGTTTTGTTTAGTTGGTCAAAGTAGTTTTTGTCCTGGTTATTTTCAAAGTTGTCCAAACAGATTGTTTGGTCTGTTGTTTGTGTCCTTCTTTGTGAGTGAGAAGTGAGTGGTTCTTTGGTCAATAAGGGGTTAAAATATTTCAATACATATCAGCGAAGAAGTTGGCATACATTTAGAAGCTCACTGAGCAAGAAAATGCCTTCTGTCATAATTGGAGGAGGGGGAAGAGTTTTAATGATGGAGTTATAATTTATTTTGTCTTAAAAAAAAAAAAAAAAAAAAAAAAAAAGTTTGAAAATTTAAAGGATTGACTCGAATTTTGTGTTTTGGCTAATGATACACTGTAACTAAACCAATCAACCACAGGTTCTTTATTTTGGAATGGATTTTATTTTCTGTCATAAATGCTTTTCAACGTCACTACACTTTTATGTTTACTCACTTCATTCTTTAATTTTTTCATCTTGCATTGTGAAGATATATGAAGGAAAGAGCATTTTTTTTTTTTTTTTTTAATTTGGTAATATGTCCATCCTTTACAAGCAAAATTAATTGACATTGTCTTAAATTCTTAAATGCTATCCCAAGTGGTTTGTTGAGTAAAATTGCACCTAAAGAATTGAACTCCTGGTGCAGAATAATAGTTTTAAATTTATAGACTTTGCCACTTACAGTTTTGCTAATGTAATTTCTCCTAATAAAACTAGTTTAAAAAAAAAAAAAAAAATTTTTTATTTGCACTATTTAGATTTGGACTATTGTCTTGATCTTTTATTGTTGTGATCATGTCATTTCATCCATTGTGCTCTCCAGCTTTTATCAAGTGAATATCAATCCGGCTAACCTACACGGAATTCCAAACTAAACCCTTTATTTAACCTATGGGCTTAGACTTTGTGTTCTCTCATAGATTAAATATATTAATTAAAGGGTTGAGTTTGGAATTCTCTCTGTAGTCTATCCGGATCGATATACACCTGATGAAGGCCATAGGGCACAAC